TTCTACAGTGCTGTGGCGCTTTATAATCAAGCTTACATCACACTCAACCTCAGAAAAGGAGACTACATAGCTGAGGCAAAGAAATTATTGGAGGAAGCACAGTCTGCAGTGGATGTCTATCTCTCAGAATCAACAAATACGATGATGTTTTGTAATCTTTCAGTGATGAGTGCCTTTGTTCCACACCACACAAACAGCAACCTCCAGATCCAAATGCAAGCCAGGATGAATATCTTCAAATCTTGGAAAGGATACATTGAAAGTGCCTTGACAACTCTGAGACAGCTCGATGGCAGCAAAGGTGATGCAGAAGTAGAGAGTTCCAGTGTGTACCATCTTTCAAAAGATAAAGATTTAATCACCACCAATGAGCTGATGATGCTCTATGAGAATGGCCTTAGCACAGTCTTTGAGGTTAAAAAGAAGCCCAAGTTCTGCTATGATGCCCTTGCTTGTTTTGTTCTTGGTGCCCTTCAAGTTGCAGCAGGTGTTCTTGTTTGTGCTCTGTCATGTGGTGGTGCCAGCCAGTTTGGACTTGGACTGATCTGTGAGGGAGTATCTGACATGATTCAAGGGATCAAAGGAATGATACAAGGAGGCTTTGACTGGGCTGAATGGGCAATCTCCAAGGCCATCAGCATCGGGCTGTCTCTGATCTCTGGTGGATTCAGCCGACTAAAGAAAGCTGCAAGTGCAGTGCGTAGTGGCACAAAAGGTCTGATCGCAGGAGCAAAGACTAGTGCCTACACAGTAAAACAGTGTTTTCTGAAGGCAGGGAAGTATGCAGTTCAGGAACTGGGGAAGCAAGGATGCATCAGTGCTCTGAGTTATATTGCTGAGAAGGAATTTAATGCTTTTTTCCAAAAGGTTCTGAAGGACGTCTTTGAGAAAAAAGTGTTTTCACTGATAAAAGCCAACCGTGAGCTGGATGAAGTTCTCACAAACTTCATTTGCTCAGGAATACCAAAGACTGCCCTGGAGAATGGGTCCAGTGAATTCAGAATTGACAAAGGGTGTGAGGAACAAATGCTTCAGTCAGTGGATCTGATAACAAGAGAAGTCATTCCTGCCCTGATGATGAATTGTACCATGGTTCTTAAGGTTCTTGATGGCCTTTCAGCAGTCTGTGGTGCTGTAACACAACACATTAAGAGCAAAAAAGGGTCCGATCGAATAGAAATATTCTAATGGGTTTGGAAGCAGCTAAATATGCCACAGCCTTTGTACAAATATGGAATTCCATACCAACAGAGAAAGTAATTAACAACACCTTTGTTCCTAAGCTCTTGCAAAGCATGGAAAAACTACCTCAAGAAAGCAATGACCAGGATGAAAGGCACAGTTTATCAGATGTAAAACGCTTTAAAGATAAACTCATCAACATGATTGCAGAAAGTGTTTCAAACTCTTATGTTGAGGCCTGTTCCAGGCATATGACCTCCATCATGAGCAAAATGTGCATAAGTCAAATAAACCATGCTGTTGGTGGTGCTGTTAGCAACATACTTGGCAGGGCTGACACCCAAAGTTTCTTTAACAGCCAGGAGTATAAGTACAACATGAAAAAGGTCCTCCAGCGTCCACGTGAGTCCCTGTCAGAGTCTGACAAGAAAGACTTGGAGTGCTACATTGAGGACATTTCTGATGTTAACCACCCTGCTACAGCTTTGGACATCCATGTCCTCACACAAAGTGATGCTCTGGAAGGCAAAGGCATCAAACTGGTTACGGTGGATAACGATGGGAAGAAGCTTTCAGAAGACTATTTTCCAGGGAAGGAGGACTCAGCAGGTGATATAGTCCTCCAGCTGAAGAAGGAGCCAAAAAATCCAACACAGTGAGTGACGCATACATATTTGATATTATTGCGCCTCTCATTTAAATAAGTCAAAATAATATTTTTTTTAATTGACCAACTCATATGGGCCAGAAAGTTAATTTTGACCTGTTTTGCAAGGGTAACCCTCCCCATCCCAATTTCCAGACTTTGGTTTTGATACTGTCGGGTTCTTCTACGCTGAGAGAAGTTCAGGAGACAGTCTAGCAGTTCACTCTCTTTTATTATCAGGCAGTTAAAATTGGGCTTGCACAGCTGTGGACAGTGTCAGGCAGTCTGTACATGGAGAAGTGAAGTACAATTCATAATTCAAAGTATATATTAGACACATGGAAACAGGAAATAATAATTGTGATTGCTTATTGATGGGGAGATGTCGTGGTTGAGGCTCAGCACTCCCTGATTTGTTCCTCATGGCAGCGGTCACTAACCTCCAGTCAGGGATCTTGTCCTGTGTGAGAAAACTCCCTACCTCCCAGATAGGGATGTTTTATTTCCATGCTCCATTCCTTAAAGGAACACTATTAAGTGTTTATTTCTTGTTCACTGGAACGCCCTGTTATCATACAAGCAGCCCTTCCTGTCTGTTCTGTGAGCACGTAGCTACACTCAGCTCTGTTTGTGCCTCTTAGTTAACCTGTCACACCGTGGGGTTAGTGCTCGTATCCTTCTAATGAGGAGTGTATCAACCCTATTATGATCACACACTGCAATCAATGTCAAAAAGAAACTTTATCTAAAAACGTAATAATTATTCTCCTGTCTGATCATCAGGGGACAAACAAACTAACAAACTGTTTATCCCCAAACTTGTGTAGTTGTTTAGTCTGAGGGCAAATCAGAAACCCACTGAACAGCTAGAACTGACACCAGTCATGGTGAATAATAACACAGAGCTGGCATCCTGACATCCTGTGGTCCCACTATAATGACTTGTCCTGTGTTGGTTTACTGGCTGTGAACTGGGAAGGACTCAGTTATTTTCCTGTACCCCCCCAGTTTTTATTTTTTCTGGCATTCTCGTGTCACTTCCTGTTCCTAACACAGTGCACAGTAGTGTTTTGTTAACATGTGTGACTTGTTTAATTATAGACCTTCAGATAAAGACTTATTTCAAACTGTAATCTTCATGTGGTTTATCCAAAGCACGCTTTCTGCTGAGTCGCCCACACTAAAGACCCAATGATTTTCTTTAGCGTAGCTATTAGCTTAGCTTGTAGCAGAGTCATTAGTTCCTTCTCAAATGTTTAGTTTCTCCTCTGTTTAGCACAGATACTGGAAAAGAAATGTTGCCTGATTGTACTTCTGGAGGCCAGGCTCAGTGAATGGAAAACCAGCTCTGGACTCTGGAAAATGGCATAGATAGTTAGTAGTTAGTGCAGGCAATGCTAGCTTAGCTACCATTAGCTCTTCCTCAGCAGATAGTTCTGAGCAACAAGAAAGAAGGCTGTTGATGGTGAGGAGGACGTGTAGCTCTAAACAGAACACCCCGGTACACCACCTGTTGATCTCTCACGTAGTTTTCTCATAGTTTTTTTTCTCTAGGGACTCCAGCAGCCATAGTCAACTGTCAGAGGCGAAGGCAGGCGACACTGAAGGAACCCTGAAATTGCTGGGAAAGGAAAAATTTAGATTTAGTAAAATTATAATTCCAGTCTGCAATAATGACACCTGGTTACATTAATCGGATGTCACTTCAGTTAATATTGAAATGGTGTGTAACAATCCTCATTTAGCCTGGAGAAATAGTTTGCTGCTTTATAAGAAAGCCCTCTGCAAAGCCAGAACATCTTACTATTCATCACTGATTGAAGAAAATAAGAACAACCCCAGGTTTCTCTTCAGCACTGTAGCCAGGCTGACAAACAGTCAGAGCTCTGTTGAGCCAACCATCCCTTTAACGTTAACTAGTAATGACTTCATGAACTTCTTCACAAATAAAATTTTAATCATTAGAGAAAAAATTACCAGTAATCATCCCACAGATGTAATATTATCTACAGCTACTCTTAGTACCATTGATGTTAAGTTAGACTCTTTTTCTCTAATTGATCTTTCTGAGTTAACTTCAATAATTACTTCCTCCAAACCATCAACGTGTCTTTTAGACCCCATTCCTACAAAACTGCTCAAAGAAGTCCTGCCATTAATTAATGCTTCGATCTTAAATATGATCAACCTATCTCTAATAATCAGCTATGTACCACAGGCCTTCAAGCTGGCTGTAGTTAAACCTTTACTCAAAAAGCATCTCTAGACCCAGCAGTCTTAGCTAATTATAGGCCAATCTCCAACCTTCCTTTCATATCAAAGATCCTTGAAAGAGTAGTTGTCAAACAGCGAACAGATCATCTGCAGAGGAATGGTTTATTTGAAGAGTTCCAGTCAGGTTTCAGAGCTCATCACAGCACAGAAACAGCTTTAGTGAAGGTTACAAATGATCTTCTTATGGCCTCTGACAGTGGACTCATCTCTGTGCTTGTCCTGCTAGACCTCAGTGCAGCGTTCGATACTGTCGACCATAATATCCTATTAGAGCGATTAGAACATGCTGTAGGTATTACAGGTACTGCGCTGCAGTGGTTTGTATCATATCTATCTAATAGACTCCAGTTTGTGCATGTAAATGGAGAGTCCTCTTCACACACTGAGGTTAATTATGGAGTTCCACAGGGTTCAGTGCTAGGACCAATTCTGTTTACATTATATTACATTATAAGACATAGCATACATTTGGATTCAGGAGACAGACACTATCTCTACTTTCAAGATTAGGCTTAAAACTTTCCTTGTTGCTAAAGCATATAGTTAGGGCTGGACCAGGTGACCCTGAATCCTCCCTTAGTTTTACTGCAATAGGTGTAGACTGCTGGCGGATTCCCATGATGCACTGGGTGTTGTGGTTTGGTGATATATAAAACAAAATTGAATTGACTTCCTTTACTGTTATAGTTTAATCTGATTATATACATTATTTCCAACATTCGTTTTCCTTATGCTTCTTCATCAATATTATTCCAACAGCTTCACTGGTGGACACAACTTACATGACAGATTTTATGTACAACAACATTATTATTGGTCCCAATCAAAACTCTTAAATAAAATTTAAAGTAATAAACAAGTGTTATGGAATACTTATATTTACAGGGAGATTTGTTAGTCTCACCTTTTCCCTTTTTTGTCCAGAGTGACTGATTTGTTGTTTTTTTGGTTTATTCATGTATTTTTTACAGGGGGAGGGGGTTCTTCTCAAAGATAACTAAACGGATTCGTGGTGAACAGAGCCCGTGCACTGGTCATTTTGAAATCCTGAGACCAGATGGAACCGCGATCCCAGTAAATTCAGAAGATCAGAACTGCCTCTACCACGCTGTTGCCCAGGCCACCTGTAAAAATCCAGGTGACGTAGGAAAAGAGGCACGGATCCTTCGGGAGCAGGTCAGAAACAATGTAAGTCTTACTGTTATTATTAATATGGTCTCTGTGTTCTCTTTCTTTTCAAATTAATGAGACAACATTTACATGAATTATTACTCAAAAGACTAATCAATAAAGAAACTTAGGAAAAAATGAATCTTAATCCTGTTCCAGAAAGCCGATAGTTTCCAGTTAAAGGAACTTCAGCCTGCCTTAACTGTGCGTGAGATGGCTTTAAAAAGTCATTGTCATTGGAGCTGTGATACAGGGATCCACACGTTCTTCTACTCCTGATTCTGGGGACCAGTTACAGGGACAGGACAGGGGTCAGGGGTCAACAGGTAGGGCTAACAAGGGACGTTTCTCCGAGACCCTGGTGCTACATGTGACATATGACAAACAAACACAGGACTACAGAAAGTGTAATGTGCAAAAATTGCAAAACAAGACAAGCCAGTGAAACTCCAGACAGAACAGGACAATACAGACACAAGACATGGAAATGTGGAAATGTGTGTGTGTGTGTGTGTCAGTCCAGTACTGCGTGTTCAGGAGTCCTCTACAACGTGGTCAGATAAGCCAAAATTGAGCCCTTTGGTATTAGTGATGTTTTATTTCATGTACTAGCGGCTCTAAAAGCCAATTCTTTGTAGCGAACAATAAGAGACGACGCTTTAGCCCTCCTAAGAATCCATGAAGACAGGGGCAGGACTTTATTTTTATGGGCACACCATTCTGTGGAACAAGGGAGGGGGACAGATATTCCGAAGTGTTGGGATTTATTTTTATCTGTAAGGCTGATACCTCATAATTAGCACCACGTAAGTGTTTTGTAGAGAAGTTTTGGAAGTAGACTGTTACTGTGATACCAACAGACACAAGACTGAGACCCTTCACAGGAACATGGTCTCGGCCTTAAATCAGGAAATGCACTCTACAGGCCTGATGGAAGACAAGAGGTAGTTGTCATGGTAATAATAATAATAATAATAATACATTTTATTTAAGGTCACCTTACAAAAGACAAAAAATAAAAAAATAAAAGGGGCAATAGTTATTAAAATACATAAAATAAGTAAAAATTGCAAAACAAAGCTTGACAACAGATAAAATCAGCACTAAAGCGAATAAGCCAGTTTGAATAGATGTGTTTTGAACTGTAAATATGGAAGAGAGTCTATATTTCTTATGGCTGGAGGAAGAGAGTTCCAGAGCCGAAGAGCAGAGCGACTGAAGGCTCTGTTCCTATAGTGGTAAGACGAGCAGAAGGAACAACAGGATGAATGGCAGATGAGAATCTGAGAGGGGAGGAAACAGTGGTTATATGGAGCAGATCACACAGATAGGAAGGAGCAGATTTAAGGACACACTTGTACCTGAGAAATAAGATTTTAAAGTTAAGCTTGGGTTCTACGGGCAACCAGTGAAGCTGCTGAAGAACTGGGGTAATATGAGCTCTTGACGGAGTGCGGGGTATGACCCGAGCTGCAGAGTTTTGAAGAAGTTGGAGTTTATGGAGGGACTTTTTGGGGAGACCAAATAAGAGGGAACTGCAGTAATCAGTCTGGAAAGTAATAAGACTATGGACAAGGATGGCAGCAGCATGGGGAGGAAGGAAGGGGCGGAGTCGGTTAATATTACGTAAGTGGAAGTAAGCAGACCGGGTTATGTAATTAACGTCAGACTGGAATGAGAGCGTATTATCAAGTATGACACCCAAACTCTTTACCTGAGGGGAGGGAAGGGTGGGAGAATTTTCAATGTTAATGGAGAAACTGTGAGATTTGGTTAAGATAGAGGCTGTGCCAACGAGTAAAACCTCAGTTTTATTACTGTTTAGTTTGAGAAAACTGGAGGAGAACCAGGATCTAATCTCGATAAGACAGTTTGAGAGAGAGAGAGAGAGGTAGGTGGGAGGGATGAATATGTCAATATGTCTTAAACATATCATACGTCAAAGAACCTTTTTATTTTGTGCATGGTTCTTTAGCTTGGCCCTGAAAATCTTAGAAATATGGTATCTAACCAGATTCTTACTCTGGATGGCATTACCTTGGCCTCCAGTAACACTGTGAGGAACCTTGGAGTCATTTTTGACCAGAACATGTCCTTCAACGCACATATTAAACAAATATGTAAGACTGCTTTCTTCCATTTGTGCAACATCTCTAAAGTTAGAAATATCCTGTCTCAGAGTGACGCTGAAAAACTAGTTCATGCATTTATTACTTCCAGGCTGGACGACTGTAATTCATTATTATCAGGAAGTCCTAAAAACTCCCTGAAAAGCCTTCAGCTGATCCAAAATGCTGCAGCAAGAGTCCTGACAGGGACTAGAAAGAGAGAGCAGATTTCTCCTGTTTTGGCTTCCTGTTAAATCCAGAATTCAAAATCCTGCTCCTCACATACAAGGTCTTAAATAATCAGGCCCCATCTTATCTTAATGACCTTGTAGTACCATATCACCCTATTAGAGCACTTCGCTCTCGCTCTGCAGGCCTACTTGTTGTTCCTAGAGTATTTAAAAGTACAGGGTGGGCCAATTATATGGATACACCGTAATAAAATGGGGATGGCTGGTGATATTAAAGTCTTGTTTGTGGCACATTAGTATATGTGAGGGGGCAAACTCCTCAAGATGGGTGGTGACCATGGTGGCCATTTAGAAGTCGGCCATCTTGGATACAACTTTTGTTTTTTCAATAGGACGAGGGTCATGTGACACATCAAACTTATTGGTAATGTCACAAGAAAAATAATGGTGTGCTTGGTTTCAACGTAACTTTATTCTTTCATGAGTTATTTATAAGTTTCTGACCACTTATAAAATGTGTTCAATGTGCTGCCCATTGTGTTGGACTGTCAATGCAACCCTCTTCTCCCACTCTGCACACACTGATAGCAACACCACAGGAGAAATGCCAGCACAGGCATCCAGTATCTGTAGTTTCAGGTGCTGCACATCTCGTATCTTCACACCATAGACAATTGCCTTCAGATGACCCCAAAGATAAAAGTCTAAGGGGGTCAGATCGGGAGACCTTGGGGGCCATTCAACTGGCCCACAACGACCAATCCCCTTTCCAGGAAACTGTTCATCTAGGAATCCTGTCCTGGAGTCCTGTTCCAATTTTTGTTTTGCCCATTCTGCAAATTCTGTGCTGATCTGGGTCATCCTCGTTGAGATGCTGCAGTAGCTGGAGTTTGTAAGGGTGCCATTTGTGAGTAGCTAATATCCGCCGAAGGGATGTTCGACTAATGCCACTCTCCAGTGACATGCGCGAGTGCTACGCTGTGGGCTCTTGCTGAATGAAGCTAGGACAGCCACTGATGTTTCTTCATTAGTGACAGTTTTCTTGCGTCCACATTTTGGCAAATCCAACACTGAACCAGTTTCACGAAACTTAGCAAGCAGTTTGCTAACTGTAGCATGGGAGATGGGTGGTCTCGTAGGGTGTCTTGCATTGAAATCTGCTGCAATGACCCGGTTACTGCGTTCACCAGATATCAACACAATTTCGATCCGCTCCTCACGTGTTAACCTCTTCGACATGTCAATGGCTGTGAACAAAGAGAAACTTGTAAATAACTCATGAAAGAATAAAGTTACGTTGAAACCAAGAACACCATTGTTGTTCTTGTGACATTACCAATAAGTTTGATGTGTCACATGGCCCTCTTCCTATTGAAAAAACAAAAGTTGTATCGAAGATGGCCGACTTCTAAATGGCCACCATGGTCACCACCCATCTTGAGGAGTTTGCCCCCTCACATATACTAATGTGCCACAAACAGGACTTTAATATCACCAACCATTCCCGTGTTATTACGGTGTATCCATATAAATGGCCCACCATGTAGATTGGGAGGCAGAGCCTTCAGTTTTCAGGCCCCTCTTCTGTGGAACCAGCTTCCAGTTTGGATTCAGGAGACAGACACTATCTCTACTTTCAAGATTAGGCTTCAAACTTTCCTTTTTGCTAAAGCATATAGTTAGGGCTGGACCAGGTGACCCTGGATCCTCCCTTAGTTATGCTGCAATAGACGTAGGCTGCCGGGGATTCCCATGATGCATTGAGTTTTTCCTTTCCAGTCACCTTTCTCACTCACTATGTGTTAACAGACCTCTCTGCACTGATTCATGCTCATAGGGGGTCATATGATTGTTGGGTTTTTCTCTGTATGTATTATTGTAGGGTCTACTGTACAATATAAAGGGCCTTGAGGCGACTGCTGTTGTGATTTGGCGCTATATAAATAAAATTGAATTGCGTGAAAAAGTCGCTGGGAGTACAAGCTCAGGAGCAGATTTAACAGACTCCTTAGTAACTTGCTTGGCTGTTGTACAAACCAGAGGTGGTGCACAATGATCTGGTTTAGTTCATTCAAATGGGAAAACACTAAGGCCAGTCTCACTCTTTATGGCTGGCTAGTGCAACACTAAGTCACTGATTGCATATGCAAGTAAACACAAGGTTTTTTCTCAGAAATTGCAAACTGGGAAACACAAAACTCTAATTTGTCTTGAGCCGTCTTGGACTCATCAAACACGATCTCTGTGGCCGCCTCTACAGGCTTAGCCCACCCTGACTTGGCCTCTGGAGGCCTGTGCGATTATGGACCCAATCAACGTTTTACCTTTTTACAGAAGGTGTAGCCTTTGTGTTATTCATAGTCTGCACAGGAGATGTTGGAAGGTAATTCATCTTATGTCATGTTTTATCTGCACTCAGCTTCAGCAAAACCTACCCAAATACGCAGGAGCTCTGAAGCTGCAGAAAGGATATGAAGAAACCTGTAATTCTCCTGAAAGATATTACATATGTGGAGGAGATCGAAAGGCACGAAAAAAAGCCGTAGACGATTTCAACAGCATCTTGGGCGACATGAGCAAGAAAGGTTTGAGTCCAGAGGAATTACGAGATATCGAAGAACAACATCTGGGTTTGGTTGGAGCGCACGCTGAGTAAGTATTTAATGTGTGACCACAACGACCAGCAGATCGAACTTCACATTTATTGGTAACACACATTAAATCGTATTCTGAATGTGTTTCTTGCCAACAGTGTGTACAGAATCCGGAGGCAAACCTCAAAACAAAGAGAATGTGGTGAAAACAGGTTGGCGGTGGAAGCCGACCACGTCCCACCTAAATGTGTCTTTCAGAATGCCCTTAAAAGGTTGCAGGACCCTGAGAACGTAAAGTTAAGAGAGGACCTGAAAAACAAAAGCCCCAACGTCTTTGCTCTGTTGGATAAAAACGGAGACCGCGGGCTGTGCAGAGAGGTTCTGAAGCCGCACCACGAGGCAGGCCTGACCTGGCGCAACAGAAAAGAGTCTCGTATAATCAGGTGAGAACAAATCTGTTCGTCGTGGAGCTAAACTCAGAGTTTTCTTTGGATAGCTAACGTGCTTCTGTTCCAGCGAGAAGCTTGAGGAGATTCTTATTTCTGGAGACGGGGAAAAACTGGTGAAGATGTCGCTGCTGGCAGCCAATCCAGTCACATCCAATTCTCTCAGAGAGGATGCAGGTACGCTACAAACAAGCCTGTAGAGATAGAAGTACTATGTGCTGTTACCAGGTTACTGATGAGACAATGAGCAAAGATGAGGGCGTTTGTCACCATAGAAACAACACAAAGAAAGATCTGTGTGTAAAAATGAACTCGCGTTTTTCATGAAATGATGAAACACTGCAGTCAAAGTCTTTCAGCAGTTTAATGCACAGAGTCACAGAGTGCTGGTTACATTGGTTTCACAGCCACTCACAGGATCACACACAGGTTATTAATTATTAGTGCAGGAACACGTGAAGCACCATGTAGAAGGATCACTTAACCAGGAATCAGTAACACAAGCTAATCAACAAATACACAAACCTCACTGTACGAGCACACGGACTCACACTGTGTTAATGAGTGTCCTCGCCTCAGTGGTCACAGTAACAGATATAGTGCGATGCGTCACCGTTTCCTGTTCAGTGAGTAAACCCCGCCTCTCTCTGCTCGCTGTGTGAACTCTGCAGGAATCCCCTCGCTGAACATCTCAAATATGTCCAGAGACGCAACGCAGCTCTACCACGATGTTGGAGACAAGCTGCTGGTGGAAGGTTACTACAAGAAAGGAGTCCTGAATGAGGAGGAGAAGAACAGCATCATGGACTGGCTGAAGGGCGGAAACCTGTACTCAAAGAACACGTCAGAGTACCAAGAGATGTGCCGCGAGCTGAGAGCCAAGATACAGAAAGACAACAACAACAGTGGAAAATAACAACAGAGTGTGTGTGTTTACCTGAACGTATCAGACATCCAAACTGAGAAAGCTCAGTTTTATTTGATGTTTTTATCATTTATATATTTTGTTATCCTCTCTGACCCTTTCATCATCATTCTCTTTTCCTCTTTTTGAGAAAAGAAAGAAGGAAAAGAGTTTCTCTGAAAGATTTTAATCCGAGGATGAAAAGCAGCTCAAAGAAAGTGATTTGTAATCACAGGAGTTGTTATGTGTTCTCTGTGTAACACCTGTCACAGGTACCTGTGAGCGGGCCCTGGGCCTCTGCTTACAGCACAACATAGGAATCATGATATGACTTGTGTAATTAAACCACAACACAAGAGGTTCATTTAAACGCAGCAGGCTAACCTCACTGATTCCAGATCAGAAAACTGTGTGTGTGTGTGTGTGTGTGTGTGTGTGTGTGTGTGTGTGTGTGTGTGTGTGTGTGTGTGTAGAATAGAATAGCCTTTATTGTCATTGTACAGAGTACAATGAAATTGGAGTGCCACTCCCTTGGTGCAAGTTTCAATAATAAATATAAATGTAAAATATAAAAAGTACAAAAAACAATCGTAAGTACTCAAACAATAGTAAGTACGATATATACAGGATAGCAGCATTAATATAATGACTGTGTGTGTGTGTGTGTGTGTGTGTGTGTGTGTGTGTGTGTACGTGTGTGTGTGTGTGTGTGTGTGTGTGTGTGTGTGTGTGTGTGTGTGTGTGTGTGAGGTTACACTTGTATTTATTTATTTATTTATTTAGGACAGTGCATGTTAATGAACATAAATGTAAAAAATAAATTACATGAATGTAAACATGCCAGATTATAGCCAAAGGCTAATTTCCATCTGTTGTCCTTAAACATAAAAAAATAGACATAATAATTCATAAAAATTCATCATTCATTCATAATAAAAACTCCATCACCAAACTTACACATACACACCGTTCTGTTCCCAAATAAAACATTAAAACTATACAACTCATACATGATCACACACTTGATTTGTCCACAACCAGTTTGGGGTCAGAGGTCACACTGGTGATCACCTTGCTAAGTTAACCCGATTTTTTGCTCCCACCATAAAAAAAATGAAGGAATAAAGGTGTGTGTAAAGCTCTGTGTTATTAATGATTTATACACACACACACACACACACACACACACACACACACACACACACACACCTTACTGTTAACTGCCGTCTTGCAGACTTTCAGACTCACTTTGTCAAAGTCAATTTTTTTTATTTAGCACATTTAAAACAACAACTGCTGACTAAGGTGCTGCACAATTAAGATAATTAATAGAAATAAAAACATAGGGAGATATGATAAGAGTTAAGAAAAAGAATCATAAAATTAGATAATTTGAGTAAGAAATAAGACAAATAAAAGTAACAGAAACTCATTCTGACTTAAAAGGCAAGGAATAAAAGTGGATTCTCAGACTTGTTATGAAAGTGTCCAATGTTGGGAGTTCCTGATGTGAAGGGGCGGTCCCAGCAAAGGCCTGTTCTCCTCTGTGCTTTAATCTGGACCTCGGGACAGCTTTGGTCCACAGACCTCAGCGATCTTGCAGGAGTGTCCAATTTAAAAGATCACAAATGTATGAGGGTGCTAACCCGTGCAACGCCTTCAAAACAAATAATAAAATCTTAAAATTAATTCTAAAACTAACTGGCAGCCACTGTAATGATGCCAGTGTGGGAGATATGTGTTCTCGTTTGAGTGTGCCAGTTAGTAACCGTGCTGCAGCATTTTGGACCAGCTGACGGCTAACTGATGACAGACTAACACCAGAGTAAAGACTATCACAGTAGTCGAGGCAGATGAAATGAAGGCATTGATAGCTCTCTCAGAGCCTCTAAAAACAGAGAAATGGCTTCACTTTAGCAAGTAGCTGAAGATGAAAGAAACTGGACTTGATTACAGCATTAATCTGTTTATCAAACGTTAGATTGGAGTCAACAATCACTCCTAGGATCCTCGCAAAGGGTTTTTTATAAATTTCTAAAGGGCCAAAGTCGCAGTGGTCACAGGGACCAAACACAATCACCTCTGTTTTCTGTTTGTTTAGGTTAAGGACGTTTAAAGCCATCCATGGCTTAACATCATCCGAACAATTTAGCAAAACCTTCAGAGGACTCACAGATTTACGTTTCAGGGGCAGGTAAATCTGTAAGTCGTCTGCATAACAATGAGATTCCATGTTTTTTTAAAAATTGAATCCATAGGGAGCATGTAAATAGAAAAGAGAACTGGACCAAGAATGGACCCCTGGGAGACCCCACAAGACAGGGAGGCTTTTGAGGATGATGCATCCCCCAATCTAACAGAAAAACTTTGGTTGGACAGGTAAGATTTACTCCAGTGCAGTCCCTTTGATTCCGACACAGCGCTCAAGCCGAGAGATAAGAATCCCATGATCTACGGTATCAAAGGCAGCACTGCGGTCTAATAGTATGAAAATGGCTGAATCTCCCAAGTCAGTAAAAGTTAAAAGGTCATTAGAAATTTTTAAAAGAGCAGTTTCAGTGCTGTTGTGCATTTTCAAACCAGACTGAAATACTTCACTAACGCCATTTTTATCTAGAAAAGTCTGGAGCTGAAGAAGGACAACTTTCTCAAGGACTTTAGAAAAAAAGGAAATTTAGAAACTGGTCTGGATTTGGATTAAACTGCTGGATCCAGGTTATGTTTTTTAAGATTTAAGAAGTCATTAGGCAGCTGTGTACTTAAGCAGCAACTGGGAATGTTAAAATCCCCTACAATTAAAAGAATGTCATACCATTTTTTTTTAACTGTAGGGGATTGTTCATTTAATTGTTCATGGCATAATTCCTGCCAGGAATTCAAAGGACTCTTGGATAAAATTCTTACTGTATTTCGGTGGTGGGTACAGCTGGATTTCAAACAACTGCAGTTCAAAGCTAGCATAAGCATCAGCTGTTAGCTGCTGACAGTTGAAACTGTGTTAATAAACAGTGGCTAAGCCTCCACCCCGGCTGGTAGTCCGAGGCGAGTCGAGATTGTTACAGTCTGGAGGGACAAACCGCCCTGTTTCCCTTGCACTTCTGTGGCATTTCTTCCTGTAAGGGATGGCAGGGCGAATCACGGAGGAGGAACAGTGGTACAGTCTCTAACACAGGTGGAATGCGAAAATCCTCACATCCTGGGGCCAGTCGGGATTGCTCTTCAACAGTGGCTCTGATATTTAGTAGCGATTGGAGGTCATAAACCAGAAGAGCAGAGACATTTTTGAAGAAAAAAGACGTTAACAAATTTAGCAAGAACAAAACAGCTGAAGACAAGACGCACACACAGGAACCATTTTGGAAATGTTAATAGTGTTACTGTTTGTGCGTTAAGGCTCTACACCCCGGGGCTGCCTCGCTTTGGTTTGTTTTCTCTGTGTTATTTCTGCTGTAAATGTGCACACACACACACACACACACACACACACACACACACACACACACAGCTACACACACACACACACACACACACACACACACACACACCTACACACACACACAGCTACACACACACACACACACACACACACGCACACACAGATGTTTGTCAGGAGAATACCATACCGCACCTCACCAGCTAAAAAGCAAATCATAGAAAAGCAAGCTCAAAAAATGCTTCAGGATATAAATGGTAAATGGCCTGTATTTATATCGCGCCTTACTAGTCCCGCCTAGGGACCCCAAAGCGCTTTACATATCCAGTCATCCACCCATTCACACACACATTCACACACTGGTGGAGGCAAGCTACAGTTGTAGCCACAGCTGCCCTGGGGCATAATCATTGAACCTGCATCAGGACCATGGGCAGCCCCCGTGGTCATTGTGAACAACCCCCCCCCCCCGCGAACCACGGTTCTGTGTTGACTTCCGTGGCCTAAATCAGCTGACGGTGAAGGATTCTTACCCACTCCCGTGGGTGGATGAATCACTGGACTATCTGTCGAGATGGAAGTTTCTCACAACACTAGACCTCGCTCGAGGTTACTGGCAGGTCCCCATTGCTGAAGAAGCTAAACCAAAGACTGCTTTTATCACGCACTGTGGCCTGTTTCAGTTCAGTCCTTCCTTTCGGCCTGTGTAACGCCCCTGCGACTTTTCAGCAGCTTATGAACAATGTTCTAGCTGACATGATTTATAAGTCCTGCGTGGTGTATCTAGATTACATTGTTGTCGCATCACCGACCTTTGAGCAACACCTGCTTGACTTAAAAGAGGTCCCTGGTAAGCTTCAGCCCGCTGGCCTCTCTTTAAAGCTGAGCAAATGCCAATTCTGCCTTTCAGAGCTCACCTTCCTTGGTTATCGGGTTACGCCGGCTGGCATTCATCCTGACCCTGACAAGGTGAGAGCCGTGACTGAGTTCAAAGTGCCGACCACAACAAAGCAGGTGCAACAGTTCCTTGGCCTAACTGGCTACTATCGCCGCTTTGTACAAGACTACGTCCGCCATGCAGAGCCACTCTTCGCCCTCACTAAAAAGGACGTGCAGTTTTACTGGGATGACAAGTGCCAGGCAGCTGTGGACTTTCTGAAACATTCTATAACCTCAGCACCAGTCCTCAGGTTCCCAGATTTTTCGCATCTATTCTTCATTCCCACTGATGCATGCGATGCTGGTCTTGGAGCAGCATTACAGTTTTTGCCCGTTGCTTGAACACTATAAACCCATGCTCAGACTAAAGTAACACAACGTGAAGCTTATGTTACCATACCTCAAACACATGTACCCATACCTTAAACAAAAGCGCTGCTTTGCACCCCAGTACCAATTATGCAACACTCCTATACTCCTTTATGCAACACACATGGTCCTGCATGCTACACACTATTTCATACATAAGACACTTCGCTCACAAAATGAAATGTCAGGGTGCCATTCGGAAAACACATGTATCCAAAATACAAAACACATCGGGTAATTGCAACCACTCAAATACACACCTGAAGGCACTTACTTGCAAAACCGAACACCAATTAGCCAACTACAAAAAGCCCTCAGCGTAGCCATTTCAAGAACTTTGCAAGCATGGATAGAGGGAGAGCAAGAGGAAGAGGAAGAGGTAGAGGAAGAGGTAGAGGAGGAGGAGGAAGAGGAGGAAGAGGAGGAGGAGGCCGAAGAGGCCATGCACGGACCCATATTTCTGATGAAATAAGAGCAACTTTGGTGGACCATGTCATCAACCATGGCCTGACTATGAGGGAAGCTGGGCAGAGAGTCCACCCACATCTAAGCCGCTTCACAGTGGCATCTGTAATACGAACATTCCGACTAGAAAGCAGGTCTGTCTTCACCTCCATACCTTCTGCTCTACTCAGATGGTTCCATAGCACTGTTCTACAGTATAT